TATAAATTTCAGTTAAATATAAATATTACTAATTATTGTAAACTAATCCTGGCGCAAAAGTTTAATTATAAATATGAAAAAATAGTTCGAAATTATGGTTATGACTAGCAGCCTCCACGACCACGTTTATCTAATTATTAATTAGTAACTTTGTAAAAAAAGTAATCAGTATCTATATTAAAACATTAATAATTAATAAGTACACTTAAGTGTGTGTTATTCACCATGCCAACGATTTACACCCGATCATCATGTCCTTACAGTAAGTGTTTAATTCAAAATGGAATATGAAAGAGTAAGAATCTACAGGGATAAAACATGATTACAATACTTCGTCATCTTCGACGTTAAGAAAGTGTTAGTTGTAAATTCGTTAATAATTCCCAAAGTCCTCCTTATAATTTAAATTAGATCCAAAGTTACTTCATAACTACGCATTATGTATTTATAGGTTAAACACCCTTTATTTGAGATATTAAGAGTGAAAAACACAAAAACCGAAGTTTTTGTTGTTGTTGTTGTTTTTGGTTTTTGGCACAACGAAAGGTAAAATATTTATTCTTACTTAAAGCCGACTAGTTTCGGTAACACAATTACCATCATACCCAGCATTGGATATATTTACATTGCTAGTTTGGCCCAAACGAGACAGCTTTTTTCGTTTGCTAGAGGAAAGGTCAACACTACCCACCGCCAACTCTTGGGCTGCTCTTTACCGACGAATAATTTCATTAACCATCGCATTATAACATCCTCATAGCTAAAAGGGAAGGGATTTGTTTAGTGACGGGATCCGAACCCGCTACCTGCCCATTACGAATAGGGTGCTCTAACCATCGGACCATGCCAAGCCTAAGAAATGACTTTTGATAGCTGAACTATTTTTACCAGAAAGCCATTCATTTTAACATTGCATAATTGAATGGTGTGTGCACTGTAAATAGTTTGTGGTAAAGTGAATCTTTAACTATTAGTTAAGAAGCTATGTTTTTTTATGTATCAAACAATATTTGATATTTTCCACCTGAATGGCAGCTTATGTGCACGAGGCCTAAACGCCCATTATTCGGGTGTAGCCGTTCTTAATATTGGTCAATTAACTACAGAAAAAGAGACCAGCCAATAACATATAACACTATAAGGGTTTTGCCCAGTTTATTGATTATAACAATGGAGCTGATTGTCGCTTTTGGAACGCAATCATAGTTGAAAGTGCTGAGTGTATTCAACTGCATAGCGTCTCCAACCCCAGATCCTTCTTCCGCACCCCGATACATAATGACTAGGTCACTTCCGGCCTAATCTTTGAAATACTTGGCCCATTTTATTCTGTTAATGCATCTTAACCCGAAGAAGTTAATGTGCCTTGATAAAGTAAATGATCTTTAAAAATCTAAAGTCATTTAATTTATACGAATTTGTTGTTGTCATTTTAATGCCAAGCTACACAATGAACTATTTGCGCTTGTCTACCGATGGGAATTGAACCCAGGATTTTAATATAGTAAGTTCGAAAAATTACCGTTGCAAATGATTTTTGATATGAGTATTATGTATATTTTTAAGGGAGGTATTCTAAGTTACGCCAAAACTGTGACTAATCTATTTGCATATTAGCAAATTTGGGTAATTGTTTTTAAAAAAGATTGATCCACTTTTTTAACTCATGCACGACTGTCTATCATTACAAATCAAATGATACTATAATATATATTGTTGCGTCAGCGAGGTCACGTGACTAGTGTCACGCCACCTGCTTTCTAGAACTATCCCGTTCCTTCGGGAGTGCTCTAGCATTTACTAGATTGGGGGGGGGGGGGGTCTGGTATATATAAGATGGTCATGGCGTAACAGAACAATATGTGTGTAGGTAGTGAGTAATTGAACTGCAGTCAGAAAGTATTGTTGAAGTTAACGTTCGTTGATATAGCGTTTGCTATAGAGCGACTGTTGAATTTAAGTGTATCGGTAAAGTTATATTCAGAAAGAATAAACCAGTTTTATTAAGAAAGGACTTGTGTCACTAAAGTTTCGTCGGAACGAAGTTACGGAAAATCAATTAACGACTGGAGGCGTAACAATATATATAATAATATATAAATTGTTGCTGTTAATCAATGTTGCACAATGAGATATTTGCAGTGCCCAGTACAGGGATAAAACCAATAATTTTACAGGTATAACCTCTCAAGCTTATCACTGAGCCATTGGAATAATAAATTATTAGTAATATATCATAAGGGTACAAACGGAATATATTTTGTGCATTAACAATGAGTTGTATAAACAGAAACAAAATAATTATGTTAAGAACTGGAGCGCTTCGGTTCCAGACTCATTCTGAATAAATAAATATACGTTAATAAACCATAGATTATAATGTATTTTTGAAACACAAAGTAGAAAGAAAACTTCGTGCCACGTGTAGTAACCAAATTTGTTTTTTACTTACCAAATGCATGGCCAGTCGATTAGGGCGATCGACTCTCAAGCTGAGGGTCGCGGGTTCAAATCCTCGTTCCAACAAACATGCTCGCCCTTTCAGCCGTGGGGGCGTTATAATGTGACGGTCAATCCCACTATTCGTTAGTTAAAGAGTAGGCCTCGTGTAGCTTTGCGCGAAATTCAAAACAAACAAACAAAGAGTTATTCTGTCAAATCATTTAGTAGAGACAAATGACAATACCAGAAATCGGAAAACGACAAACATTACATTCAGGAATTTAATGTTTATGATGTAGTTCTTTCCTTTTTTTATTTATTGAATATGTAACTTTGCTTTTCAGAACCAATACGTGTGGTGAGAAGAGGTAGCCCATTTTGTGGTTTGTGCTTAATTAACAACCAAACCAATTTTGATAATTAAAACAACAAAAAAACAACATCGGTACAAATGTATAAAGAATGATTCACTCAAATGTTAAAGCCCCCCCCCCCCACAGTGGAACTGCGGTATGTCTGCGTACTTACAACGCTAGATATAGGATTTCGATTCCCGTGGTGGACAAAGCACAGATAGCCCATTGTGTAGCTTTGTGCTTAACTACAGACGAATGTTAAAAAAACAAACAGCTAAAACAATCGCCCATCTTTTCTTGAGTTTACCTACTTCAGGTATTTTAATTTACATGATGACAAATCTGAGAATTGTATAATTTTTTATATATACTGTTTCTTCATCACAACAGAAACAGATAAATGTACTAAATATTTTATTTTCATGACATGTACGTTGTTGTGTTTTTATTTTCAGAAATACTTTGTTTTTCGTTTTGTATCGTTTTTACTGACTGTTGGTAAATCAATATTGTAATTAATTTATATACGTGAATTATCCAGTTTGGTTTAACTCGTAAGAAAATACCAGTGGCACACTAACAAATAATATACTGTAGATACAAAACATACAAAATACAAGTTAAATTGTTTGCTATTTACTACAAAATCATAAGTTATACAAATGATAAGAACGTTTTATCTAATAGCCATTCCGGCAAACTATTGGGAGGGGGGGCAATGAAATTCGCTTCCAATTTAATTTTTGGGGAAGTACTTGTCCCCCCCCCCCTCTCCCGGTTCCGAAGAGTTTCGTGATCCTGCTTCTTGGAAACCGGTTTGTGAGGTAGCAAAGTTATACAGCAGCAAGTGGATATCCATTGAAATTGTTGTTTTACTTATTTTTCTGTAATTTACCATTACATTCAGGATTAATGATACATTTAAACTCTAACCTTCTCAGTAAAATTAACTAAAACGCAATGTAAACGGTTGTAATAAGTAGGATTTTCTTTCTTTTTCCTTGAAAATCCTCGAAAAATTTCCTTCGCAAATTTTACATTGTAACGTCAAAGGTATCTGCAATGCTATAAGTTGAACAAAATATTTTTAACCGCGGCTCTGAGTTTTTTTGTTTGTTTTCAATTACAAACTTTTAGCTCATAGCTCCGTTATCTCTTGGCCGATTTGAGATTACAGTTTTGGGCCCAGGAGATCAAACCCTTTCGACTGACGTATTTGACCACGCCCAAAGTCTCATAGATTAATTTACACTATTCCTGCCTAAAATAATTTCAATTTGAGGGTAGTCTGGTGGTGATCCTGATGAGTAATAAAATATAATCGGATATATGCGCACCACACACTTGTTATTGCTGGCGCACAAAATATATATAAAGACGAAATGTGTGTTTGTTTGAATCCTAACTCCTCCGAGCCTATTGGGCCAATCTCAAACAACCTTGGCAGGTTTACACTTCAGACAATGTTGGATATTCTAAAGAGATTCAAGGTCAAAGTATGAAAGTTGCTGGAGATTGTTTCTCAAACAACCATGCTTTTCTCATGGTCAATGAGGTGTAGGGTGTTCAAGGGTGGGATAACCGCAAAATCTATATTTGTTGATATATGGAAAGCAAACTGCAAATGTTGTTTATGAAGTTTTGTTATAATTTTAAAATTTTGAGATAAAGTTTATGTTCAAGTTATTACTTTGAAATATATGCTTGCTGTTAAACTTATATTGTTTTAATTAAGTTTAAACATTCCCTGTACATAATAAAAATGAAAGAAAAAAGGGTCTCTAATTTTGATTCAAGAATTGCGTATTTAAACATTTATTAAAAAAAAACATTTCCACATTTGATAACTATTTCCAACTGTTGCCAAATTCACAACAGATAATTCGTCTCATCTCTTCAAAATCAGCTTTTTTGGAAATTTCGAACCAAAGTCTCATTATTCCTTATCTCCATATACAGCAGAACATCAAATCACTTGCACCAGATGTTCCCCATTCTCTACCCTATCAGCCATTCCTTTGCTAGATATTAACAATAAATCTAAAATATCATTGTTCTTAACAGATTCCTTAACCAATTGTTGAAGAAAACCACCCTAAAGAGTTTCTAGAAACCCATCTTCTTCATGATTTGACTCTAACATTTGTGGGAGACAAAAATAGGTCTGAAATGATGTTTTACACATTCCTCTGATTTGAAAACAAAAAATGGAAACTTAAGAAGAATTTGAAAAAAAATCTGCTTTTAACGTGGTTTTTATCAAAAATGCTGGATCTGTTTAATTATTTTTCATTTGAAGGTATTGATAACAGACATAATCTGTACTATGTACTATAATACATTGCATCTAAATATTATTATATACTAATTGGAGTACCCGTCCGTTGGACTGGTGAAATAAAAACTCGTTTGCAACAAAGAATAGGAAATTGTGTTTCTATGTTTTTTCTTAACATAATAAACATTAAGAGTGCAATAAAAATACATAAAGGTACCAATACTGAAAAGAAAGACATAGAAAGAATTATATCAATATGAAATTGGATGATGGGTGTCCAAACCCCCCAAGTTATTCATGACCTTCTTCATGTCATCCTGTATCACTGTGTCAAGTTTGGTGTTGAATGATCAAGAAATGTGGATAGGTATAAGGAACAGACATAAAATGATAGATATACGACCGTGTATTATATTTCCCGGACACACACACACTTTGCTTTACATAGTAGATGCTGCATCAAATACAATTTCATTTCCTTAACCCTGTATTCCTGAAAACACACACAAAAAAAAACACTATACTTGATGTAAGATGGTATGGCAATATAACTTATTTTCACAGAGATATTATTATCAAATAATAACAATTTCATTTGCTATTTTAGTTATATTGAGAAAGTGGCGCCATCTAGTCAACTTAACTAATATAAAACGTATAGTAATTTACAGTATAGTAACAGTATCTTTGGCCCGGCATGACCTGGTGGATAAGGCGCTCGACTCGCAATCTGAGGGTCGCAGGTTCGAATCCAAGTCCCACCAAACATGCTCGTCCTTTCAAAGAGGGAAGGCTGTCAAGTGGGTTGCATCCTTGACGTAAGAAACAGCTTTAGAAACGATGGCAGAGCAAGATCTGCCATCGGCTCAACGGTCCGCAAGGACTATGGGAAAAAACAGAAAAAAACAGTACTTTATGACAGTCCTTTACAAACAAAAAGAAAGGAAGAAGTCTAGCCATTGCCGTTCCCGTATTGTGAATACAAATATTCGTGGTTCGCAACCCGCAAAAACGCATTCTACACTTTAGAGTGTGGGCTGTAAAAATCACAGGCATATGCCATTGTTATATCAGATAAGAGTAACCTAATAGTTGGTGGTTGGTGTTGTTGACTAACTGCCAAACTAATGTGCAGACATTTAGTATATAAGCCTAGGCAAATTGTAAAATGCAGAACAAGTGACCGTATTTTACTATTTGCGAAGGCACCTGATATTTGCCTAAATTACTAATCCCCTGCGATTAATCCATTATTACAGACATCACATGAAAGCTGCTTTTGTAATAGTAGACAACATGTCTGCTTACTTCAGACTTTGGCGCAAATCTACACAAGGACTATCTGCGCATAGCCATCCCTCATTTTAAACTGATAGATTAGTGGTATGGCAGTCTGTCAATAAAACCCACCTCTAACTCTTTACCTACTCTTGTCTCACCAAATAGTGAGATTCGACAGTCACTTTTATAACTCACCTGTAGCTCCAAAGCGCGAACAGCGTTTTCTTGACAACGAGACGCGAACCATGAGTCCTATGATTCACAGTCCGGGTACGCTAACAATAAGACCACGCTCGGTACCAAGGTTGCAAGGCTTACAATAACATATCTTTGTTACGTATAAAACCTAACTTAATAAGAGAGAACAATTATATAGGATTCTTTATATTTGTTTGTTTGTTTTGGAATTAACCACAAAGCTACACAATGGGCTCTCTGTGCTCTGCCCACCACGGGTATCGAAACCCGGTTTCTAGCTTTGTAAGTCTGTCCGCAGACATGCCGCTGTGCCACTGGGGTTCGATTCTTTATATATATATATTTTTTAAATGAATGTTTTAATCAACAAAATCGATGCTATCAAACAACTTAAAATATATTACATTTTGATTTTTTTGACATTAACCATTTTATATGAAATCTATAAACTCTCATCATATATAACGATATTTTCCAATGTTAAAATTACTGATGGATTTTTGTCATTTATAGGTACTTCGTTTATATATATATATATATATAGTTTGTAATTCGTTTCTCCGTGATTTGCAACACTTAACCTGGAAGGTCTTGTAATGGTTACCACATACTCGTAAATAGTTAAGGTACAGTATATATAGGTACAGTAGTAGTACAGTGGTACAGCGGTATGACTTCGGACTTACAACACTAGAAACCGGGTTTCGATACCCGTAGTAGGCTGCGCACCCACAGCCCGTTGTGTACCTCCATGCTTAATTAGAAACA